AGACCCAGCGCAGGCTGGCGCCAACCGCAAAAAGAGTCAGCTCCTTCTAGCGTGGCTCCAGCACGGATTCAGCGAGACTTACTGTGAGCTGGCGGCCAAGATGGTGCTGACGCAGTCCCGCACCACGCGCGAGGAGTGGATCCCGCTCAGCGAAGCCAAGAAGTCCTACGGGCCCAAAGAGCTCAGGACTCGCCTGAAGAAGGGCTCCCCAGAGTGGCGCCGAGACCCGGACGACCAGGAATTCTTCCAGGTGCGCAAGCGCCGCGAGTTTCGCGAGACTGGCACGACGAAGCAGAAGGAGCTCTCAGCTCGCTCGGTGGCTTCGGGGTCGGGAAGCAGGGAAGCAGGCCTGGCGCAGCGCGGGTTTCGAGTCGGAGAGTCGGGAGCCTGGCTGGTCAGACCTCAAGATGTCGCGGGCCAAGAAGCCCAAGGCTGCGGACAAGCCGGGCGGCGACCTCGGCGCCATCATGGCGCTGCTTGACGCCCCGGGCGCCGAGGCGGCCTCTGACGCCGAGGCGGCCTCCAACACCGACGGTGGCGGGGAAGAAGGGGAAGAAGAGGACCCTGTCTCGCAGTCCGAAGAGGAGCCGCCGCTGGCGATCAAGGATCAGACGCGTGGCTCTGCACGCTCCAGCGACGGCGGCAGCAAGGTCGGGCTGGAGGAATTGGAAAAGTACAGCGCGCGCGTCGGCTCTGTGGGGCTCCCCGAGCTACGTCGGCGCTTGTCTGAGATGGCTAACCTTGCGGCTGCAGCCGCGAAGGAAGCGAGCGCCATGGAGAAGAAATCTAAAGGCGCGCTGAAGAAGCAGGCTCAAGGCTGCAGCCAGAGCCTTCGTGCTGCGAAGAAGGCGATCGAGTCTGCTCTGGCGGCCCCGCGGGCCAGCGCTGAGACATGCAAGCAAGCCCTTCTTGACTGCGTGAAGTGCTTGAGCGCGTGGCGCCGGACGCGCGCCCAGTCGAGGGGCTAGCCACTTACAGCGCAATGGGCCACGCTTCCATGTTGGGAGATTTTGCTGGCATCGGCCGCCACGCGCACGTTTTGGAAGGAGAAAAAGCCTGCCGCCCCTGCTGACTGTCAAGACCCACGTGCAACTTTTTCTTTAAAAAAAAATCCCCCGCGCTGGCTTTGTCATGCATCTAGAAGTTTGTCGCCGCAGCACTTTGCACCCGCACGGACGAGCGCGGCGGGCAATGGCAAGGCGCCGCGCCAAAAAGCGCACGGCCGAAGAAAGGGCCCTTGACGACCTAGCAGAGCCTCACTCCGCGCTGTGGACCTGCTTGATTGAGCTCTGGGCCTGGGGCAGCTTGTCCAGTCCGATTGTTCAGAAGCTAGCGTCGGCGGCCCGTCAAAGCGGGTGCCGCGCCAGCGATATCTCGACTCTTGCGAACCTCGGCCACGGCGGCGCGCAAGAAGGAAACGTGCACAGGGATCTCCTGCGCGCGTACGCTGCCCGCTGCGTCACTCCAGAGCTCCGGCGGGCCCCGTGCGTCACACGAGTGAAAAGCGCGGAAGGCGAGCGCACGGAGAGCACGTCGCAGGCTATACTGCCAGCCTCTGAGTGGATTCGCAGCCTCTGCGAGCACGGGTTGGACGCAGCCCTTCTGGGCTCCGAGGCAGACCGAGTGCGCTTCTGGGAGCGCCAGCTGAGCTCCCCTCGAGCCGTTGGCGTGGGGTACTACCACGTCCGAAGCTTTTGCCCCGCGCAGACAGTGCCTCTGCTTCTCTTTGCGGACGGGGCTAGCCACGCAGAGCATGACGGCACTGTGGCCGTCTGCTTCCGCAGCCTGCTTGCCCACCAGTGCGACATAGCAGAGAGCATGTTTCTCTTAGCTGCCCTGCCCAAGTCGGCAGCCGTTAAAAGGGAATCCTGGCGGCACCTATGGTCCGCCCTGGTGGCGGACTTCAATGATCTGGCTCACGGCCGCGCAGCCGACGGGTCCGCGTTGCCTCTGAGGGCCGTGGTGTGGGTCGTCTCGGGCGACTATGAGCACATGGCAAACGAATATGGGCTGCCGCACTGGGCTAGCTTCCGCTGCTTTTGGTGCTGCAAGCAGAAAGCTGACTTCTTCGACTTCGGCGACATTGCGCGCCAGACCTACGCTGTCAAGGACTTACTCGACCAGGCAGCCCTCGAACACCCACTCACCGCTTTGACAAATTTTTCTCCTTGTATGTTTGCCATCGACACCTTGCACTGCCTGGATCTGGGCGTTGCCGCGCATGTGTACGGCAACGTGTTCTATGAGCTCACGCGGGATTGGCCGGAAACCAAGATCGGCAGCATCCAGCGACTCAATCGCGAACTGCGGGCGCATTGCGCAGCTCTCGCGGTGCAGCCGCCGCCCCTACTACGACACGAGCACTTCTCGCCCGGTGCTGGCGGGTACCCGATTGACACATCAAGGGATCAGTCGTGAGGCGCCTGGCGCCTGCAGTCGCGGCCCTGGCAGCCACGTATGGCTGTGGGTCCACCCACCGCAAGAGGCGCGCGCGCGTGACATCGCTGCTCGCAAGCCTCTACGAGGCTGCAAGCTGCCGAGATCTGGTGATGCCAGCGAACAAGCATGAAGACTTTGTCAATGCGCTTTCGGAGTTCCTAGACCAGTACCGATGTCTGAGAGCTGCGTGTCGTGATGATGGCTGGCACATCGTCTTTAAGTTCCACATGCTTCGGCACTTGGATGAGCAGTCCAAACACTTGAGCCCCAGGTATGTGTGGACGTACCCTGGGGAGACGTTCATGTCTCTTGTGTGTCAGCTAGCCGGATCCTGCTCGCGGGGCACCCCTGGCCGACTGCTTGGCGTCAAAGTGCTAGACCTGTGCGCTCTCGTATGGTCAGCGACGAGCTCGGCGAGTAGATTTGAGCCAAAAAGAGCGCGCGCAAATATCGGCGTATACATATATATATATAGACAGATTGATGTGACTTTGTAATAAGCAATAAAAGGATCCAGGTATCTGCCGCAAGCATCGGACATATTTTCGCGATTGAAATTGAAAAAACCGCGATTGAATTTACAAAAACCCGCGATTGAATTTGGTGTGCAGCATATTTCTGGCGCGATTGATTTTTCAAAACTAAGGCGCCTTTCCCGCGATTGAATTTGGCGAAAACACAAAATTTTGGCCGCGATTGATTTTTGCGTTTTTTTTGCCTTGTTTTTGAGCAAATTTCAAGAGCGATTGAATTTTGACGCCGCGATTGATTTTTTTCAATCTCGGATGCTTTGGGTGGTTCGTGACTGGTGCGGGTGGCGGGCCTGACTGGGCAGCGGCGCCTCCCCTTAAGCAACGCTTGCTTGGGTCTGTGAGCACGCGGGTCGCTTGAACTCCAAGTGGAGGTGGCCATGACGTTCGCGTCAGGCAGTGGCTCTGCGCCTTCCACCTAGCGCAGCAGCTTTCGCTAACTAGTTCAGGCAGCTGTCTAGTTCAGGCCACTCACAAGCGCCCCAGGCTGGCTTGTAGCAACTAAGCGGTCCAAATTCTCACGGCTATCCAGTTGCCAGCGCACGGGAGCTTTGCAGTGTCCAAAGCCACAAAGCAAGAGTTCAGAGGCGCGCGAGCCATACCCCGAATCATACCCTCGAGCCATACCCCGAATCATACCTGCGATTCATACCCCTTATACCAACCTCCTGGGACGGCCACGTCAAAAAAACACATACCCATTTGAGCGGCAAACAAACAGTTTGTTTACTTTTGATGGCCCAATCCATCCCAATCCACCATTTATTGTGTGTTAAAAGTCTTGCTAGCAATGGACTTTGGGGCAGTAACCTTTCATTTTTTCTTATGAGACCCGCGCAGCAACTTGAAACCCTTTTGAGCAGGGTTGTGGGATCACTCGGGGTTTATCCAACCACTTCCGTGATACTTTTGGGAATCCCCTCTTATGGTTGGTCTTTGGGAGGCTTTGGGCTTCCGCCCTTTTTGTATCACAGACTCGTGGATTCCATTTCCCACAGCTCTACCCGAGTGTCTCGGGGTGCAGCTTCGAAGCCCTCGTCCGGGCCAATTTCTGGCTCTTTAGGATTGATTGCCGGAGCTTTTTGGCTCTTGTTGGCTCTTTTTTTAGCTTCCTGAGTTCATGAACTTTAAACTTTTTGGGAAGACCATTTTAGTGGTGAATATAAAGTTTGGACTTTTTTTGGGGCCATCCACTCAGCCAGTGAGTTGATGGTCGGATGCTGGTCTGGATGGTGTTCTGGAAGTTGAGGTGGTTTGGAAGTTCGGAGGTCGTTTTCCCATGAAGCCTCTACAAGAGCCGGTTCAACCACCTATTTTTGGAAAGCGCGATTCCTATTTGAAGACACACCCATATCATGGTTGTTGTTGGTTGTGGCTCTTTTGGCTCTTTTTGGCTCCCCAGTTATTTTCCATTTCCATGGAGCCACAATGAAAAACCAGGTAGACGAAGGGTAGGGGACATTCCCAACTTTATGGATTTCATGGTTGTTGTTGGGAAGCATTAGACACATTTTTGCTCATTGTGGTTTTGTGGTTGAAATCCACCCACTTAACTGCTATTGTTTTTTAGATTTTTTGCTCCCCTTCCAACGCCAACCAAGTAGTGTCTTTAGAAGGTACCAGGGGATCCTCTCTGGGAAGCTGCAAAGAGACCATGGGTTGAGAGAGGTTCCTATCTTAATCTGATCTTGCATGTCTTGGTGGGTCCCAGCCATCCGGTTTCTTAGGTGTTTGTTGGTTGCGTCCAACTTAGGGGACCGACATTTTGTTAGATTTTGGCTGACTTGTAAGAGCTGCAACCACCAAAAATAGTGGAGAGGGAAGCACTGAATTCAGATGTCCAGTTCCGTTTCCCAGTTAAAGCTTCCCGGGTCCGGACGAGGCGCGAGTACGGAGGATTTAGACATTTCGAGGCCGTAAACAGCAAGTTGCTGGATGAATCGGGTCTCAAATGCATTCGGTGCTTTTGGAGCCGAGGCCAAACAATCCGATCGATCGGACCCTCCCTCTGACGACTGACTCCTTCGCCAGGAGGTGGATGCGCTTCCCACAGCGTCGAGGAAACCCAGATCCTTTTGATGGCTGCCAAGGGAACCGCCCAGAAGCAAATTGGAAAGTGGCTGGTTTCCTAGACGCAAAAGAAGAATGCCCCCATCCGTTTCCAGCCATGGCCTGACTCCCCATCGGTGAACCTAGGAAGGACCCATCGGTTGGTGTTGCGTGATATGAAGTTGGAGACTTGAACCTCACTGCCTTGATTTGCTGCTACCCAAACGTCAGCTTCGCTCGGACTTGCCACCTGATGGTGTGATTTGTTTGCCCCTGTTTTTTTTCCCCCAGTGAATCAGAACCCATGTTTCTAAACATCCGGGAGCACCTTCATGAGACAGTTTCAGAAGAATGCGATCATTACCAGCAACCTTCATAGTGTTTTTTGCAGTGTCTGCATCTATTTTATGGCGAGCTCACCGATCCGGGGACAAGAAGAGCTCACCACAATGCAGGTCCTTTGCTGGACGCAATCCTTATGTCAGGTTTGATCAATGAGACCTCCCAAAACACCTTCCAAGGATCGCCTGAACAACCCCTTTTGACCCCCCAAAAGATCCCCTGGTAACTTCTAAGTACTTCCCCTTTTGACCTCCCAAAACACCACCTAAGGATGTACCGATGCAACCCCTGTTGACCCCCCATTGTGCCATCCTCAGGTACCAAGGGACCCTCTGGGCCGGGCCAGACCACAGGGGCAGGACATCTAGCCCGACTCTTGCAATGGCGATTGTTTGTCGTCATTGTTTCACAGACCCCCCGAAAAAGGAAGGAAGACGAAGAAGAAGAAGAAGAACACGAAGAAGAAGGAGGAGAAGAAGAAGAAGAAGAAGCAAACGAAGAAGAAGAGGACGAAGAAGAAGAAGATGAAGAAGAAGAAGAAGACGAAGAAGAAGAAGAAGGAGAAGAAGAAGAAGAAGAAGAAGAAGAAGAAGAAGAAGCAAACGAAGAAGAAGAAGACGAAGAAGAAGAAGACGAAGAAGAAGAAGATGAAGAAGAAGCAGAAGAAGAAGAAGAGCACGAAGAAGAAGGAGAAGAAGAAGAAGAAGGAGAAGAAGAAGAATAAGCAGACGAAGAAGAAGAAGACGAATAATAATAAGAAGAAGAAGACGAAGAAGAAGAATATGAAGAAGAGGAAGAAGACGAAGAAGAAGAAGAAGAAGGCGAAGAAGAAGAAGAAGAAGAAGCAAACGAAGAAGAAGAAGACGAAGAAGAAGGAGAAGAAGAAGACGAAGAAGAAGAAGCAGAAGAAGAAGGAGAAGAAACAGACAACAAAGAAGAAGAAGACGAAGAAGAAGAAGACGAAGAAGAAGAAGATGAAGAAGAAGAAGAAGACGAAGAAGAAGCAGAAGAAGAAGAAGAGCACGAAGAAGAAGGAGAAGAAGAAGCAGACGAAGAAGAAGAAGACGAATAATAATAAGAAGAAGAAGACGAAGAAGAAGAATATGAAGAAGAGGAAGAAGACGAAGAAGAAGAAGAAGAAGGCGAAGAAGAAGAAGAAGAAGAAGCAAACGAAGAAGAAGAAGACGAAGAAGAAGAAGAAGATGAAGAAGAAGAAGACGAATAAGAAGAAGCAGAAGAAGAAGGAGAAGAAACAGACAACGAAGAAGAAGTGGTGGTCCACTTGGCGTCCCTAGCCAACCGGAAAAAATCGGTGCTTTCGGATGGTGGGGGAAGCCAGGGGAAAACATCCATGGTAAAAACTTAACATCTACCTGGAGTCTCCATGACCCCATTTTTATTTCGGGTCATGGAGACTCCCAGGTACCATTTTTTCCCCCGGTGACCCGCTAGAACTGGGAAGCATGCCACCCAAAAACTCACACAAGCACACTCCCACCCGCCCGCCCGCCCGCCCGCCCGCCCACCCACCCACAAACACACAAATAAAGACCACGGAGAACTTCTTCTTCGGGCCGAGGCCGGAAGCTGCGGCTGGGCGCAGGAGAGATCTGCTCCAAAGACCATCAGTTGGTTTACATTTCAGAACATTCTAGGTGGGGATTGTCCTCCAAATACTTTGAACATGCAATTTCGGGGATTTCGGTCCACCAACTTGGGGCGTTCCGAACTCTTAATTAAAATTTATGGTTTGCTGCCGACGTGACCCAGAAACAGGTGGTCAGTTGCAGACAAAAATATTCGGTCCATTGGGGGTGGCTGCATATTGAAGACATGGCATTTTTTTCCAATGGAAGCGGAGGGTTGGTAGTTGCCCTAAGAGCTATGATATAGCTAGGACTTCATCTTGAGCTTGTTGCTTCCCAGCCAACACACACCAGAACCCCCCGCTATTGGTTTGTCAAGTGACCTGTTGGATACTTTAGGCCCCTGGCCGTCCAATTTGTGAACTGACCTTTGACGGCATTTGCAAATCAAGTGCCATTGTTCAAAGGTTTCACCCCGCAGATTTTCACATGGAACCTCCTTGTGAATTTGGATTGGACCCCCTTGAATTCCTCCCGTGACAGTGTGCAGGGGAGAATAGGCAGTGTGGGGCTAGATAAAGGCTCCACTCCCCGAGTCCCGTTTCGGACTTTGCAGTTTTTGGGTTTGCATCTTGTTTGCCTTTTGTTCGGAAGTGAGTTACTTTTGTCACTGTCTCAACCGCTCGTTTTGGAAGCGAGAAGGATGAATCTTGGGGTCAATACGCCATCTGGCTGGTGATCGGAAGCCTCCGTGTTGCTCGTTTGCCCGGGAGGTGAGCCACAATGAAAACCTGGGTAGATGAAGGTTAGTAAGGGGCAGTCCCAGCCAAAAAATAGTTGCGGCCGCCTTCTTAATTCTCTACATGGTTCTGGGTAGACCATTTCAATACCGGGTGTTTGATTGTGACTCAGGTGGGAAAATGGTTATACCCGTTATACCCTGCTCGTTCGCTCGTCCACTAAAACCATGGGGGCTATGGCGGCTATGGGCCGGCCATCGAGTCATCGAATCGACAGGAGCTCCTTTGCCACGCTTATGGAGAAGCGAGGTCTCTCCAGCTGGGGGCCCCAAGCTCTCCTCAACTCTTTGAAGTTTCACCCCACATGGATCCAGTTGAAGGTGACGTTTGTTGAGGCGACACCTTTTTGGTTGGTAAAGGGAACACTGAAACCAATGGGAAAGCAAAAACACACCCATTTGCCTGGTTTGTAGGTAACCCAGGAGCCGACCTTCAAATTCTGAAAGGATGAATGGATGTTTGCTCTAGGGCTTGCCTGAGATCCGCTGGGTCAGGGTAGAAGATGAACAGAGTCGATGCGGACCAAGTTGGAACCTAATGGCAAGTTGCCTTAGCACGAGCTCAACCATGCTGTAGAACAGGACCAGAAGAAACATGATGTTCTTTGTGTACCCACTATGGGATCTAGAGGAAAAGGTGACAACAGGTTGAAGCAAAAAAACATGGCCCCGGGAACCACACGATGCAGCCCCCGAAATGCGGATTTGATTGGAAGCGAAAGGAGGTTCGAAGAAGTGGATTCATTTACCTGCATGGCGAGTAACCAAAGCAACCACCTGTTTGAAAGCCAACAGGAACATGGTTGGTTACCCACTACAGGGGTAACTGGGATGGGGCTTCATCCGCAACTGCTGCGAACCAGATTCCGTCGATCCACAGCAGGAGCAAACATGGGTTGGCAACCTGCCCTGCTTGACACCACCAATTGCCCTGCTTGACACTGCCAATCTAAGGGTCGTTCTAGTACACCTTGTGGTTTCACCTGGGGGAGTGAACCACATGGGTTATGTTCAGAGAAGCTGTGGGTTATCTTTGGGTAATCGAGGTTGCCTGGTATCATTTTTTCCCAGTTTCTTACCTATGGCAATACTAACATGACAGAGCAGGCCCAACCATGGCCACTTCATACAAAATCAGAGGCAGCCCGAGATTGCCTGGTATGTTGAGTTGAGGATCTACTTTTCCTGGGTCCATAAAGTGACATCCTCAAGATGCCCCAGTCGATTTTCATCCCGGAAGCATCTCTGGTTTTGAGACAACAGCGCAGCGTCCAAGGAGAGTTTCCCAATCGAGAGACAATCAGAACCTGCTTATCAAAGCAGCTTTTTTCAGGCACCTTCTGGATTGAAGACTGAGAACAACAATCTCAATCCTACTTCTGGCGACCGATCCGGTGGGTTTTCCAGGAGCTAGGTCTCCAGACAGCGTCCAATCCTTGGGCTTTTTCAATTGCTTGGACCCCCCAGACATCAGACAACAAATCCGCCGGCCTTCTGAGACCTCGCCGCCTGGTCCAAGGCGATGGATTGGGCGATGCTTGAGGTTTCGTAGGCTTCACCTGTTGGTTGGCTTGGGCCCTGTTGGTCCATTTTTTTTGAGTCACGCCAAAAGGGGATGTTCAGCTTTTATTTGGCCGTGGTCAAAAACAGGGTAACCCCAAAATGGGTTGCCCGATCGGGAAATGGACACAAGGACCAAATCCTGCAGTTTCTGGGGTAAGTTTGTTTTTTACCCATTTCTGGGTTCTTGCGGCAACTGAGATAGGGCTCCTTAGACTTTTAGACGTTACCCCCCTCCCCCCCTCCCTCCCCCCCTGATAGCCTGGGGGGGGAGTATGTTTTATTGAGAGGCCAATGCCGGCTGATCAGCCCGGCAACTGCTGCCATCCGGAAGGCAAATTGCAGGGTATGAGTTTCGACTGGGGACTCGAACTGTTGGACATCATTTAGGTCCCCCGGCTAGGTGCCCTTTCTCTCACCCCTTTTTTCGGTTGAGAGGGTTCCCCTACCAAAATAGACTACAGACAAAAAGTGGATACCCTTATTCTAACCTCTCTACTGGAGGACCTAGTCATAATTCAGTGGGGATTATTTATGTTCCAAGTCTGAAGGTTGACTTCGTATTATTCCGCAGTACCGTACTACGCGGGTTTAGTCTTTTGGGAGTTCCTCTGAGCGTTCTCCGGATTCATCCTTCGCCAGGATCTACCCCAAGGCTGCGATTGATTTGGGCGAAGGGTATGGAGGACTTAGGGCTCCACAGCCGTACCACAGAGTTGCTTCGAAGTCTCAGAACCGACGTGATTTTCAGGCGCAAATCCATGGATCGGACATGATCGGACCAAAAGGGCGAGCTACTTTCACCCGCCCCTAGGAGCCAAGGTCCAAGAGGCTCCTAGCCCCTCGACCCCCCCCCCCGCGACCCCCCCCTTCTCAAACGCCCCCCGAAAACGCCAAACCCATTCTGAGAGGCCACCGGCGAGAAGCTGGATGACCAGCCGGACGCAGAGGACGAGGAGGAGCTGGGCGCTCAGAGCCCCATTATTTTACCATGATCAAAGTCACCCCCGAAGTGGTGGGTTGACAGGAAACAACCCCATTTACTGACTTTGATAACCCCCAACCATCAAAAGAATGACCCCAGTCGAAAGAAGCTGGCGGCAAGGTGAAGCAGGAGATGCGCAGTGCGGCAGATGAATCTATACTAGGTCCCCCAGCTAGGTGCCCGACCTCTCACCATCTCTCACCCCTTTTTTTGGTTGGGATTCCCCACGACTAAAATAGGCGACAGAAAAAAAAGTGGGTACCCTTATTCTAACCTCTCTACTGGAGGACCTACCTTTTGGTAGATGGAAACATGGGCTGAAACCTGCGGTCCCTATCCTGATGGTGACCAATTTTGACCCATACCCACATAACTTCCATTTGCTGAGATGAGTATGCGTGTTATTTTCCCCTCTTGGTTTTAAAGGGAATCTATCAACACTGGACCATACTGATTTTCATGTTCCCCAGGAGGCTGAAGCAAATGAAGAATAATATATGTTTACGCATTGTATGTGTATTAACACGAAGACATATATTACCTTCAGTCATATGCATTCACACATTGGGATGACGCAACATGAGGAGGCTACCAGCCATGTCGGGAAAGGTTGTGTGTATGTTTTCCCTTTTTTGTTGCGGTTAAAACGTGGTCGAACCCCCCCCCCCCCCCGTTTACTGACCAGAAACGCAGCGTGGCGGGGGTGGGGGGCAGGTTAGGGCTTGGCCAGCTCGAGAACTTGACTTATGGCTTCACTTTTCGGCTCCCGTGAAAATGGGTGTGTCTTTGTTTGAGGGTACCCTTGTTTGGTGATTTTACATGAAGACCACAATGTGTTGGGGGCAAATGTGGCCAAGACCTTGCTGTTTAAACATGTATTTGCACCTCTTGAGGCGTTCGTTCTGGCAAGGGCCTTGGGCAGAGTCATATGACAAACCAGACAACCAAACTCAACCAAATAAAGGGTATCTTAGCATAGCTAATTCATACAAATTGCATATGACACAATTATAAGCATATGCAAGCATCAGAAGTACAGAAATGCAATATATACAATACATTATATATATATATAGATATACAACCATCATCACTAGATACATATACCTGAACCCTCCAAAAGTACTGACATTTCCGTACATGCAGAAGACAAACACCAATGTACACTTTTGAGGACATTTGACGGAAATCGCTTTTAGCAGGCTGTAAGCGTTTGTGGTGCACATGGATGCACATGAACACAGTGTGCAATTTACATCGCCCGTCATACTTAATTCCGTTTCAGGTCATTTGCGAGTTTGCAGTTTCTCAGCCAAAAGGCAGCAACCGGAAATTCACGGAAATCGGCGGGAAATGCACGGAAATCGGTTTGCTTGGGGAAATGCGCACCTTTTGTCCTTGATGAATTGCACGCCTTCAAATGGCTTTTCTTGGCCCATGAGCATGACAATTCAACGACTGTAGAAAAAGTCGTTGAATGCCCCTGTCGCAAGCGTTGAGCCTGCAAGAAAAGTACAGTGTTTGCTCAAATGTATGGATTTCAAGGAAATGCTGGATTTTTGCAGACAGTCGCAAAAAGGTGCCCTTGGTTGGTCCAGGTATATATATATACACAGAACTAGAGACACTCAATATATACACAAACCATCATAACTGGATAATTCTATCTTTATACAATATATACATAAAACCCATCATCATCTGAGAAGTAGATCACTTTCTCCGTAAGACCCGCATCAGATGCGGGGTGTTTCGTGGCGTATGCCCAGCCGAGGATTGACGAGGCCTTCCAAGAGCTCGTGGCCGCCGGGCGCAAAGAAGACGCGGACGTGGCAGGCGCCGTTCGTTCGGCGAAAGGTGGCTGGGGGCCTTCTGGAAACCGGCGGAAAGAGGGAGGCATGGGACGCTGGAAGGTTTTTGCTGGTGGAATTGATGTAGAGACTTAGGGGCCCGAGACCCTAAATATGAGCCTTTAACCCCAAAGGCCTGAAATATTGAGGTCTTGGGCTAGGGAGAGATTTTGGGGGATGTTTGGAGCATTTGGCGATGTTTGGAGTGTGTCTTGAGAGGATTTGGAGAGGATTTGGATGACGGAGGGTTTGGTTTTGTTCCCCCCCTTAAGGAGGATTTGAAACTGGGAAATAACAAGGTAATCCGGCAGGAGGGATTTGGAGGTCCCTGAAGTTGGATTCCATACCCAGCTTGGGACATTTGGCTTAAGCCCCGGAACCAAGTGCTTAAACCCTCGGAAGACTGGATACATGGGATTTTTCGGCACCCCGCTGGAACCCCAATGAAATATCGTGGCCGTTATGCTCATCGCCAGGCCTCGACGCGATGCTGCCGGCCCTCTTCGCGGTCGGGACCCGGAGGTTTTTTTTTTCTTGTTTTTTTTCCGCTTCTTCGACGCCGGGTTTCGCGGGTGTCCGAGGAAACGGTCAGGACGTGTGGATGGTTTGGAAATCCGTTTGGCACACCCAAGACACCCCAAACCCAATCAATGCTGTGAATGGTTGAAATGGAGTCCGCGAGTCTCACACCACCGAGCTCAGAGGCGGTTTCTGATTCGAGGTCCCGTCAAAGATGCCAACAAATGCTATGGATTTCAATCATGGTTTCAAAGTGGTGCGAAATGGATTTTGCAACCATCCACAGTACATAGTTGGGTGGCTCGGATTTGTTGGGCCACGACATCCATTTTGGGGGATCTAAGAACGGACACACTCAGGTGGATTGGATCCTGAACCTTGAACTTCTTGCAGAAAACACGTTTCTCTCTCTCTCTCTATCATGCAGCAGTTTTTTGGGCAGGGGGCAATTGCTGCCGCCAAGTTTCCATCCACCCCCCACCCCAACATGCACTCTCTCCCACCAACATGGCGCCTGACAGAGGGTCCCTTCAAAAGTTTGATCTGCCAGCTGGCTGGTAAACATTTCTTGGGGGCCAACCATTGGGGCCCCACACCAGAATGGTTCTTCTCAGAAGAACAAGAACCCTTCCTGGGCACAGATAGAGGAGTTTCTCCCTTATTTGAAAGCAACAACCAGTACTTTTACTGAAAAATACAAATCGTATGTTTGCCATACAAAGTACAAATTCACATAATATGTTTAGTTGTTGTTTTTTGTAAGGCTTCACAAAGCCCTTGGTCCACTCGCTGCCCTCTCCGCTCCAAAGGCCATGGATGGCGTGGTGCTGTGCAACTGCCACGACTTCGAGCAGGACGCCTGGTGTCGCCCGGGCCCGAAGTCTGGTTGGTCCGGTTCGGCTCCGAAAGCGGCGGAGGTTGTGGTTTGGGGTGGTGGTTTGGGGTTTGGGGTTCAGGTGGCTTGAAAAGGTTTCGGGGGGTGGGGTTTCTTGGGGTTTGGGGTTTCTTGGGGTTTGGGCTTTGGGGGTTCTTGGGTTTGGGTTTTGGGATTCCCCAGGTGGCTCGGGGGCTTTGGGGAGTGCCCCAGGTGGCTTGGGAGTGGGGTTTGGGCAGATAAACTCAAAAGTTCTCAGAAACAGAAGTTGTTTCCGAGAATGTTTAGCCCATTGCCCCGCCAAACATGTCACAATGGTGGTGGTAGATTTGAAGCGGGGGATATCCTCCGAAGTAGTTGGTGGACATAAATAAAGCCAAGTCAATCCCAGCAGTTCCATTTTCTTGTATAGTTGGTAACCAGGGGGACCACACCTTAAACCAGCAAAAGCAAGATGGCGGGTTACCTGGCAGTGCTTCCAACCAGAAAGTTCCCAAATCAAAAGCATAACAATGTGTAAAAGGCAAAAATGGGCTCCGCCTTAGCACCGCCCAATGCGCCACGGACCGATGCGGTGTGCCCAAATAGGCTCCGGAGATTCGGCATGGAGTGCGGGGGGTGCTGTTGGGGACCTTGGCGAGTAAATGCTTCCCAAAACTGTGGCGGGGTTGTTCCGACTCCAAAACCACAACCAAGTATGAAGGGTAGAAAGTGGATATTGGAGCCTTGTCTTTTCCTTTGCTATAGGCAAATAGTTTCCCTTGTGACATGGTCTTGCCCTTCTACTTCAGGTAAGCCTTGGGTGGTTTGGGTTGCAACTTTCTGGATTTGACCTGGCTTTGAGGGTGAGTGGGAAACCACCCCACCAACCATGCACACCTCAGAATAGACGAGGATACACTTGAGCCAGTAACCCAAGCACCTTCTCCAACTGATTTAGAGGATCTATCTGCAAGCAGGCAGTTTTGGACTTTTCCTTTAAAGTTTAAGGAGCCCTGTCAGAAGCCAGCCGAGTGTTGGCTCATACCGAGGTCTCTTCCTCTCCCTCGCCTATGCCTTTCTTCCGAGCGGGCGCCTGATCTACGAGGCGGCGAATTGATTCAGGTCCACTGCTTCGGGATGTATGGACCCTATGGGCCCTACTGTGGATGGACAAAATCCATTTCGCACCACCATGGCTCTGATTCCCTGTAAATACCAACAAACAGCGGTTTCAACCATGGTTTCAACGTGGTGCGAAATGGATTTTGTCCATCCACAGTATCATGGAGATTTGCAGACCCTATCTAAGATAACCTATCTGCAATTTGCAGATTTATGGACCCTACGGTCCACGTCCTGCGAAAGGATAGATGAGCCACAATCCAAGCGCGTGTAGATGACGGGTAGGAAGGGGCAATCCCAACGCATGAATTGGTGGCCGCCCTTTTGGTTTCTGTTGTTTAAAGTTTTTGGGTAGACCGATTGAACACCAGGTTTTGATGATTTTTTAGATGTTTGCTTAGGAGGCGAGCCCCACTCAATTTTGGCTGGAACCTAGCATACTGGCATCTCTTTTGAAATCATGTTACATCTCCAGAAATTCCATTAGGATGGCTTTTGGGGGTGTAAGTAGCTCCTGAGAAGGTACCAGGTGCCAGGGCAAAAGCTGAGCTAGTTTGCTGAGGTGGGGGCTTGGTATGCTTCCAGGGGTGCGAAGCGTGCCGTACGCCCCGAAGAAAGTGCTGGAGTCTCCATGACCTGTTAAGAATGGGGTCATTACCCAAAATAAAGGGGTCATGGACCCATTTTTGATTCGGGTCATGGAGACTCCAGGAAGTAATATTTGGCGCCGAAGCCAAAATCCATCGATCGGACCCGGGCAAGTCAAGTTGCCAAGGTGCTTTGGTAGACCGCATTCGCGAATCCAATCCCAAGCTGATGCTTTTATATCTAACAAAACCAAACAAATGTCCAGTAGTGATAGGTGTCATTTAAACCCAGCAGAAACAAAATAACGCGTATTCTTACGCAATTGGAAGGGCCTAAAGCTCTTTTGATCGCCTCACCCCATGGCTCGGTTCAGAGCTTGGGACATCTGTCCATTCAGAGCTTGGACTGCGAGTGATAAGGGACCGCTTGGAACGGTCCGAGATGGAGCTTTTCCCTCGGTTTCAGGCTCCTCAGGTTTGGTTCCCTCCCCATGCGTTTTGAAGGGCCCTTCTGATACAAGAAGCCCCTGCGGAAAGTCAGAAGGATGGTTTAGTTTGGTATATATATATAGGGTTGTTTCCTACACGCATCTGGCCCTAGAAAGCAGTCATAGAATCAAACCCAAGAAGGGTCTTGCTTGTTTCTACCAGGGCCTCTGCTACAACTTGGCAACTTGCATGTTCAACCTGCTTAGGTAGGTTAGATTTCCGGCTATAGGTCAACCCCTCCTGGCCCACCTAGAACTGCCTAGAACCATGATTTGGACAGTTCTGACATCCAAGTTTTCGCGGGGGTTGAGGATAATTCCACCTAGGTAAGACAGAGGTTAGCAATAACTAGTTCCGCGAAATAACCTACCAAAAACAAACAGAGGTTAGATGACCAAAAATTCCACCTGGGTAAGTGAGTTTGTCCTGGGAACTTCACTCCCTGCTCCGCAGGTGGAGCGGAACCTCGTACACATCAGCAGGCCAGAGACCCTTTGCCGCCCAGGGAGTGGTGCTGACCACCCATACAAAAAACATGCACCCACAGTTTGGGGGCAATATCCACGCGTTGAGGGAATTTTAAGGGTCCAGGTGGTGACTAAAGAAGTCTGGCAAATGGAGTTCGGCCGGATTCGGCCGGATTCGGCCGGTCGGGGTGATTCGCTGAATGCTTAGCAACCCTTCAAGGACAAGGGCGTCCGGGGGTTACCAATGCAGAGTGCCAGGCCTTCTGTGAAAAAAATGTAGAGATTTGTTTCATTCACTCCTCCAAAGTTCAAACCTCTTCTCAAGTTCGAGCGTGGAGTAACAAGATGTGTGTCGGAACATTGTTGTTTGTGGCAGCACGGTTGTTCTTTTCGACCCGGTTTTTTCCGGTTGAAAAGCTATAGGGATGCCCTAACATGCAAGGAGTACAACTCTACTTCCCCAAAACTTGGCAGTTCCTGATTCCCAGCCGTACCCTATAGACTTTAGAGTAGAGGGTTTCGTCACATATCCTACAAGTTGTACGCAGGGATCAAACAGTTCCGTTTCCCTCTAATTTTTGCAAGCAACCAAGGCCCTAGACTTCCAAAGGACATTAAATAAATGGCCGAGGTGGCAAAGTACATTTTCTGGGAAAAGGCTATTTTTTGCCGATATTTGGTTGGATCATGATTTTCACGAAAATCGCACTTAAAAGTAGCTGGAGGGGGCTGCACAGTCCCATTTTGCCGAGCTTGAGAGTGCTTCGTGCGCTTCGCACTGCCTTCTGCAGAAACTTGCCAACGTCAGCCACGGGGCACGGCTCGGGAACTGTTTATTTGATTTCTGCATATACTGGTCCAGCATACATCCATCGATCCATGCATGCATATTGGCAATTGCCAAGCCAGAAAAGAGCTACAAAGTCCTGTGAAGTCACGTGCCGCGAGTTAACACCAAAATGGTGCAAAAACGGTTTGTGCAGAAAATGTCTTTTCTACGGCAATAAATGGCCGTTCTACGGCAGAAAATGTACTTTCTACGGCAGAAAATGTACTTTCTACGGGTTGTCTACGGTTTGTCTACGGTCCCTTTCGGTCACAAGCAGCGAACAACGAGCTCAACAAATCTCGGCTTTACGACTCGACCTGATGTGAATATCCTGAGTTTGCAATGTGTTTCCCCTTCTGCGGAATCAAGTACCCCTGACTTACACCGTACTTTTCGTAGCGGTTATTTGCTTGCCTATGGTTTTCCCGAATGGTTTGCCTGTGGTATGTCTATGACATGTCTACGGTATGTCTATGGTTTGTCTATCGTCAATTTGCCCTGATCAGAGCACTCGAAGAAATTGAGCCCCCATAGTGGATGCAAAAAATGTCCCTTCTCGAGCAAAAAATGTCCGTTGTCCCAAGGACATTTATTTAATGGCCGAGGAAGTTCTGGGAAGGGAACCATCCTTTAAAAAAACCCAATGGAACATGACGAAGGGATACACCTGCTATAGTGGCGAAACGCCTGGGATCGGGGGTAAGTGGCCCCTGGAGCCAACTTCGCGTTTGGGACGTCTCGCTTTTCCAGGTCTCCTTGGTACCTAAGGATGTACTGAACGACCCCTTTTGACCCCCGGCTTTAGCCGTACCAAGAGACCGGCCGGGTTCGCGTTTGGCGGGTGTCTTATCCTCAGGGCAATGCGGGCTCGCCAGACAGAGGCAGGGCCGTCCGCGATTTCCGCAAGGTTTCCTCGGACCGAATTATGCCTGGACCCTTCATTTAGGCCTATGTTTTTGGAGGATACCCCCCTTTGTAATTGTTTGACAGGGAAACCAAGAGGAAAACAACCCGTTTTGGGGTCACCCCAAAACGCCACGCACACACTGCTTTCGACCCGTACGATCAGCGGTACGAAGACAAATAAGTCCATTGGGGACCAGGGTGAGTGCAGATTCTTCAGAGTGCCACAGAGTTTTCAGCCGAAAAACGTGCTGGGCTCAAAAGCATCACGTGATCGGATCAGTTTAAAACGAGCATTGCCAGAAAAAACACGAAACATGTTGTGCTCGAGCTTTCTTGGGGCATGACTAGGGGAAATCAATTCCCGGGAAATCTTAAAAGCACAATTGGATCAAGACCCTCCCCAACTTTGCGGCTGTTTGGTTGGAACCTTGGACTTTTGGAGCCACAAAACGGTAGACTTTTTGCAGAGGGGTGATACGGCAACCAAGTTCAGGCCACTAGCCAGGTAGCACCACACAAGCCACTGGATTCCCGGTTTGCCCCTTGACCCCGAGCTTGGGATGTCTCGGTGAGTTGTGCCAAATCGGTTTTGGTGTGGTGCGTCATGCATCTGCCTGGAGCCTCCATGACCCGAAATAAAAATGGGGTCATTACCCCAAATAAAGGGGTCATGGACCCATTTTTGATTCGGGTCATGGAGACTCCAGGTGCCGATTAATTTTGGGAGCTCACCGATCCGGGGATAGAACGAGCTATGACAAAGGCCCTTTACTTGGGGATCCCTTAATTCTTACTTCAGCTTTTGGAATTGTAGTAAGACTCGCAGATCCATGTTTGATCTAACCTGGTCTAGGTCACCCAGTAGTGCCCTTTCTCACCCCTTTTTGGGGGGGGGGGCTTCCCTACTAAAATAGACTACAGAAAAAATAAACGGTACCCTTATTCATATTCCATCCTCTCTGCTGGAGGACCTAGTGGTAATTGTGGCTGAAGTGCATTCCCACAAAGTGACCGGCAGACCGGGTTTCATTTGCAAGAAAATCACCCTCGAGGGTGTCGAAGGGTACTGAGGACGGCTCGCAAGAGGGCGGGAAAAGGGTTCGGTACTTAGGAGGTACCAGGGGACCCTCGAAATTCCCTGAACAATGGGATATTGCCTGAGACATATGGCCATGGGTCAAAATCGAAATCGCTTAGCCCCCAGTGAACATCAGATTCAATCCCCACTAAAATAGGTTCCAACATGGGTGGTGCACCTACCCCTGAAAATGGGATCCAAAACGGTTTTGACAGCCATAAAGCCATATGGGCTGGGATTCCCTTTTTCGTTGGGTAATTTGGGGGGTCAGGTAGCAGGGAACCCTGTCTTCCATTTGCTTAATAATTTTTGCTTTATTTTCCCCTTTTGGTTTTAAAGGGAATCAATTTCACTACTGGATTTTACTTATTTTTGGTCCAGGGGGCTTAAGCAAATGCAACATCGACTCCCCGGCTCAGGCCGGCCAGGAGGAAGACGAGGTGTTTCTTTGGGGAGCGGGGCGACTCGCCTGTTCGCGATGCCCTCAAAGGCCCCTATTCTTTGGAGCATGTTGCTTGGATGTTAGGACTTCAACTTTTTGCCAACTCACGGGTTTTCCATTAAACCACTAAAAGTAAAACTTTTAGCAGGGGCGCAGAAAGCAACCGAGTATTCATGTTAGTAGGTGGTTTTTCCGTGTGGGGGGTTATGTCGGGCTTGTAGGGTTGCCTTTATAACCATCTTGGTACCCATTGTTTTACAACTAGCTTGGTAGAACCCGCATATTGTACCACCATCTTGGTAGAACCCAAAATCAAGGGGTTCTGGGAGCCGTGGTACCCAAAATCAAGGGTTTGGGGAGCAGCTCACATTTGTACGCCTGCTTTTCGCAGGCCAAGAAGCAAAGCGAGGAAAAGATTGAGCTGCCCAACGCTTTGCAGTCGGAATGCCCAGAGAGGCAAAGCATGATCTTGCTTTCCTGATTCTCCTGGTTTCCTGCTACCCCTGTAGGCAACACATCCATATTTCCTTTAGATGTCATGAAATGATCCTGGTGGTTTCCAGTTGCCTCTATATAGTAGGAAATCTCCCATTTTCCCATTGGATTGCTGAAAGGGTGGCAAACGAATTGCCATTTTGAGACCCCAAAAGCAAGTCGCGGTGCGGCGTGGGGAACGGTGGGTCTCCATATTAAAACTGACCAAGGATGAGCTTGGAGGTTGGTAAGGGGACAAACATTTCCACCCGCCATATTGCCTTGTCTTATGGGCCGCTGGCTGATAGCACGCAAAAACGAGGAAGCAGCAGGCATCTCTACCATTCACCGGGGGTTGTGTTTGTTGGTATGATTTGGTTGTCCGCGCCAGCGGGCTAGCTTGAACAGTTCCAGAACTTAGGTGCCTCAAACACCGACTCGCTCTGGAAAGGACCTCCAGGTTTCATGGAGTGTGGCTATGTGTGGCTCAAAAGATTGTGACCAAAATGGCATCTTTTGCTCGGCCGAGTGGGTCCCGAACCCCTCAAGGCTTCTGGAACTTCCCCACCCTATCAGCCCTAACCCCAAGAACCACGGGCTTTTGCACTTCCGGAAGGTTAGGCAGGTGGTTAGTGTCCCAGCAAGATGTACCATGAGCTGGATACTGCCAGTGGATGCTGTTAACCCAGCTCACGGGCCGCTTTTCAGGGTGACTCTCCTTCCCGAAGAATTTTCTCCATCAGCAAAGATTTCAAGGGTCGGGAGAGGATGGAGAGGGAAGTGATTAGAGGTGGCTTAAGAGAGTGAGAGAGTGGGTGAAATGTGGGGAATCGGACCACTTTTGGAGTGTTCCCGTGAATAAACTGGGGCTGACGAACATGAGCCACAGTCAAACCCCGGGTAGATGAAGGTTAATAAGGGGGCAGTCCCAGCCGGAAATAGTTGCGGACGCCTTCTTCATTCTTTACATGGTTCTGGGTTCACCATTTTTTAATACCAGGTTTTGATTATGACGAACATGGGGTCACGAGTTGGTCCGGAGTTCGGTCACGGCCGTAGCTTTGCCCCGATGCTCAGGTTAGAAGAGGCCGAAGGCTGGAGGGGAGCGAAAAGGGGGGGAGGTATGGACACGGGCGTTGGTTTTAGGGGCTGTTCCTGTCGGGCACCTCTTAGATTTCTGTGTTGTTTTTTGTTTGTTTGTTTGTTTGTTTGCTTGCTTGCTTGCTTGTTTGTTTGTTTGTTTGTTTGTTTGTTTGTTTGTTTGTTTGTTTGTGTGTCTGTTTGTTTGTCTGTTTGTTTGTTTGTTTGTTTGTTTGTTTGTGTCTTTGTTTCTGTCTTTGTTTGTGTTTGTTTGTTTGTTTGTTTGTTTGTTTGTTTGTTTGATTGATTGTTTGTTTGTTTGTTTGTTTGTTTGTTTGTGTGTGTGTTTGTTTGTTTGTTTGTGTGCTTTGTGTTTTGTGTTTGTGTTTGGGTGGGGCGTTTTTTTTTGGTTTTGTTCGGAGTTGGTTTGGGCTGACTAGGTAATGTGGAGGACGTTTACCATCGGGACTTGTTGAGTTTGAGGATTTGGTATTGATTGCCTCTGGGAGAAGGGTCGCGAGAGAAGAGCCGGACTGGCCAGTCGTATGCAAACCTGAGCCTCCAGCCCCCAAGAAAACCGGGTCCACCAGAAGAAGTCGTTCAGTACAGTCTTAGAAGTTACCAGGGCACCCTCTGAGGTCATTCTCAGGAAACAGGGGAGCTTAGGATTCCCTGTAGGGCACATACCTCAGCACACAACAAAACAACGGCTGCTTCCCGGGATGGCTGGTTCTTGATGAATCACCACCCTAACTTAGATCCGATGTTGGGGCTCCAAAAACAAGTAGCGGGCGGAGTCCCGGAGTGGGAGGCTCAGCGGAGGTGCCCTTTGGAAGTAGACAAGGCTGTTGAATATGTTGGGCTCTAGGGACTGACGAAGCCTAGGCTGGGTTGCTGATTGGCGAAAGCTTGCACCGACACGGGGAAAGCCAAACGAGGGAAATCCGTGAGTCGCGGTCCTTTGCTCGAAGGATCGAATTCTTGTTTCAGGAGGTCCTTTGCAGTTCCTTGAAAGCCCCATGGGACCCACCGCATACTGTGACGAAAATATGGAGCCCAAATATAGACTTCAATCAAAGCCAGTGTTTGCTTCTGCGCCCCACCACACATCCGGGGTGTTACAGGAACTTCCTTCGACCCTCAAACCACCCGCAGAAATATGTTCTTGCCGTAAAAAGTCATGGTTGGCGAATTCCCGTGTTTCAGTGTAAGGGTCCTCCACCAAAAAAACCCAAGCCTTCGAGCCCTCACCCGCGTTCCTGCCTCCAAAACGGGTCTCGCGAAGGCAATCGCCCGGCCGGCGCCTCAAACCGAGCGAACAAGTCGCCGGGCCCACCCTAACGTTCCTTGCTCCCATGAAGAGAAGCCTCGGGACCCATGGATGATGACAATGATTAGCTAACGACTGGTTTTTATGTCAGAATCAAGCCCACTATTTTAGTGGTGGATGGTGGTTTGCACCCCAAGGGCCCTGAAAAAGAGGAACCCTTTGGCTGATTTTCCTTCTTAAGCCAAGAGCAAAGTGAAGAAGGGCCCTTTTGCGGGCCCGCGGAAGACCAGGGCGGTGTTTCGGCATGAAAAACCCGGTAAAACCAGGACTCCCCATCTGTGGACAATCACTAACCAACAGGACGTCCTGCCTATTCGGATGTACTCTACATATCGCTTTGAATGCCCAGCAAGTCCACAGCGAAGCTCAGTTCACACTCCTACAAGGGAGGGTTTGAGAAATGCCGCTTTGCCCTAGGCCGCGAAAGGGTTCGCGGATGTGGTTGATCATCTATTTGCTGGCAATAGGTTCGCAAAAGGGCCTGTTTGACCACAGAATTTGTAGTTGGTTTAGGTCAGCAAAAGCAAAAACACAAACAAACGTCAATGCAAAGCCATTTCTCAACGAGCGAAAGCCACTGCCTCATCAAAACCTCTCGAGAAAGGAACCTCTCATGCCGCGACAGCTCCGCAAAAGCCTTCGGCAAAGGATGTGCTATCTTTGGTGCATTTTGCTTGGATGTTAGGACTTTAGCTTTTTGCCAACTAGTGGGTTTTCCAAGCAAACCACTAAAAGTTAAACTTTTAGCGGGGGAGCAGAAAGCAACCGAGTTAAAGAAGTTCCTCCGGCTGCTGGGTTGAGAACACCGCTCAAGTGCTACTTACCCTCCCTCCACAAAATTATGGACGCAGGCCTTCTGGTTCCACCTCCGATGGTCGCTCCATCAAAACGTCCTTGGCCATATTTCTGAGAGATAATTGTTCGAACTCTGTACCTCCAGAATGGTTCTCAGGCCCCTTCGATCCGAAGATCAGAAGCTTGTCTAGGGGAGCTTGCCCGTTACACCAAGCCCTGTGCTTCCAGTTTCCGTAGGCAACCAAACCAGAAGTAAAACCTAGAGGTAAACGATTCCCGAAGGATTACTCAATCATTTTCAAGGGGAACCATCAAGTAAAGCTCAGATGCAAAAATACCCAAGGGTTACCTATCCCAGACAATGCATGCAGGTAATCTATACCCACATTTGCCCTCCAAATGGGTCAAATGTTGACATCTACGGATTGTTTGGGTGTAGCTGCCCGGACGCTCGGACGTCTGCTGCAGCATTCTTGAGGCCATCGCCGAAGTGGCGGAAGACTCGGCAGAGGCGGCCAATGCGTCGGCAACCCAGGGCATGATGGGTGTCTCACTTCCCGAGTTCATGGACTTTTAAGTGGGTCAAGGGACCGTTTGAGTGGTAAACAAACAGTTCGAGCACTTGTTTTGGCCAGTCTTCTCAAGAAGTGAGGTGTGTCGCCCCCTTTTTTGGTTGGTTTAAGGCGAAAGTAAAAGGCAAAGCAGGTTTTTGTTTTTATTTTTTCTTCTTTTTTCCTTTGGGGGGGTCCAGAACAAAAAGACACACCCAGATGACTTCTTTATTCAGGGCTTCCTCCATGGAACCTCCATTTCGTAGCAGTTTTAGGTGACACCACCCGTAAATTGCTCAACTTTTGAAGGGGACATCCAGTGAAGCGAGTCGGCCGGATCTGACCAGTAGGCTTCCCCTTAAGGCCAATTTTCGTCATTCCAAAAGGTCAAGCATGTAGTTTCAGGTCCTTCCCAGTGATCCCATTTTCCTTTTGTAGAATCAAAAGACAACGGCGAAGGGTTGCCTATTGCAGCGGCAACTGGGATCCGCTTGCCTACGAGTTGACCATCATGTGGTAGGGTCAACACACCCATTTACCTGGGGCTTGCTAGGGATGGTCAACTGATTGGTAACGATTTTGACAACTTTTACAAGATTTCCGGCGTAAACGTCATGAACGCGACCCACATGGGTTTGGCACACAAGGAGAAACACTAGAGCCACCAGCATTGCCTTCAGGGCCTGAGTAAAAATCTCAGATCCTTTCTTGGGTGTGGCGGGGCCTGGGGTTTGTCCCTACGAGTAATGGGGACAATACTCCCGGGTTTTCGGTCTTTGATCAGGTTTGCTGCTGCGGGTGGGATCTTGGATGATCCCCAGCTTCGTTTGGACGTGTCGGGCATGGTCAGATGGGGGCCTTGTTTGGACATGTTGTAATCTTTGGATGTTTGGAACGAAACCAAAGGAACACTGAAACCCCTGAGCGATCCCAGCCGTATCGTTCCTTTGGGCTCTAAGCATTACTTGGGTATGGGTCAAGCTTAAAACACCAGGGGAACTTAAAACTTAAAACACTTTGCTTCCACTTACAAGGGATCCATTTTGGGTGCTTATTTTGGATCCACTCTCACTTGGGGATGAAGTCAACATTGCTCAATGGGACCGCACCGGTTGAATGATTCAACTGGTTTTCAGTCAAGGAACGCTTTTTTAATCTTTTTTATGCCCCATGTCAGGTTGGGCTTGGTGCACATGGTCCCACCGTACTTGGGAGCAGGGGTATTTGGTAGCCTAACAACCATTGTGATAACTCGCAGGGCTTTTCAGCCGTAGCTTTGGTGGATATCCACAATGGATCCAGCTAAGTGTATAGATCCACCTACCTGAAAAGATCTGCCTGAAAAGACAACCAAAGAAACCGCCTTTTAGCTACAAGCACAAGTGCTTACCCACTTTATTTTTGGAATCCGCTGGGCATGGAAACCTTCAGAGGTACTGAATTGATGCCTTCTGCTTTTGCCGTCCCGCCGCGACAGGCCTCATTTCTTTGGGTTTGTCTCATGGGGAATCCCTACACTAAAAATGAGTTTCGGTTTCCTTTCGGCTGCCTTTAACTTCCCCAGAAGTAGTTCCCCTTTTTACTTTTTTGCTTTTTTGGGGTTCCCTTTGTTTTCCACTAATGAGGCAAAACTGACATTTTTTTGCTGGGGCCCCTTTTCTCCAGCCAAGTTAAGAGCTCCCCAACAAGAAGGTCCCGGAAAAAAGCGACACCCCGAAAATTTTCGGGAAGCGGGCCGCTTCCGTTGAACCCGAACGAGGTCCGTTGAAGGCTCGCGGCTCAAGTCGCGAAGCGCTTCGCGCTTCGCGTTCGGACGGTCGGAGTCGTAGGGGGAAAGCGAGAGTCGAGCCTTGAGGAAAACGAGAGTCGAAGGGTTACCCAAAAGGTCCCTTTGGGGTATGAGTTAGGGACCCGCAATGGTGGACCCCATTTCGGTGCGGGGCTTGTGGTTGCTTGAAATTCATAACCGTATATCAATTGGACAGACAGTGCCGATCTCATTTTTTTCTGGGGGTTTGTCCACCAACACTAAGCACCTATGCTGACTGCAACTGAATCCGGATAAATAAGCTGTTGGAGAAAGTCAATCCGCAGTCCACACCAAGAGAAGAAACCATCAAAGCCAAGGCCCCTATCATGGTTGTTGTTGGGAAACATTTTACATTTTTGCAAATTGTGGTTTAGTGGTTGAAATCCCCACTTAACTGCTAAAATTTTAGAATTTTTGCTCCCCTTGCAACGTCAACCAAGCCTATGTTTGTCCAAGCCATTTCTGTCGTTGCCCGGGAACCTTGGGATTGCTGGGGATCTTGAGATGAGTGAGGGCAGCTACGATTCTTAGGCCATAGGGGCAACTTATCTTGCGCAGTCTATAACTTCAGTCAGAACCAATGGAAAGGGATAGGCCCAGCACTGTGGATGGTTGCGAAATCTGTTCGCACCACTTTGAAACTCACTGTTTACAGGGGGAACCACAATGCCAGCGTTCCGATCTCTTGATTCAGGGTTGAAGGCCAAAACCTGGCAACACAAATCTCGGCGTGATCGCGTTGCGTTATGGACCCCTAAAGGGCGTAATGAACCCCTTAAGAGCTTAAGGGCTTGTCCTTGGCTTAGGCCTAGCCAGGGATGACCCCAAAGGCGTGTCTGAGGCAGGGATAGCCCTCTTCAGTTCGCCCCACCCCCACAAAGGTTCCAGGACTCCATGGCTTCGACAGGTTCGCCTCCGGAAGTGCCTGAAGTGCCTGAAGTGCCTGAAGTGCCTGAAGTGGAGGCGCACACGCCGCCGTCGCGCCCGTAGAGAACCCCCCAGTGGTTAGTTTTTTTGGCATGGCAGTGGTTCTGCAAACTGTTTTTTTTGTTTAATCAGCGTTTCAGCAAAAATTGTCTAGCCCCTTGGAACCTAACGAGCTTTTATCAACATTTAAGCAACAATTGTCTAGAAAACCCCTTACAACGAGTGTTGTGCAATTGTGGAGTCAGCATCGGTCCATTTCGCGCGGCACTTGCGGTCCCCGAGGCCGACTTTGCTGGCCCTCAAGGGGGGTTCGGGGACAAATACTCCGTGGTCCATGTGCGCAGGGAAGCAATTATCACATCCCCTGAAAGCTTGGACAATACAAACATAATTAGACCAAAACTCGTTGTTTTTTTTTTGGGGGGGGGGAGGGGGGGTAGTTTTTTGCAGGAGAAGGTAGAAACAATTTGAACATATAACGGGCTTGTGGTGTATACATGGAGCGCATTTGCACGACAAATCTTCCCTGGCGATGGTCCAGCGCACGCAGTGACTCTGGGCATGTCTTGGCATAAAATTGGCCGCTTCAATGAAGGCTCAGAATTCGATGTCCGCTTAGGTCAGTTTCGTTCGAATGGTTTGGCACCTAAGAGAAAGGGTATTTGGATGAGGAGGGTCCCTTAGGGTTCTTTTTTTTTTTTTGAGACCGGACCTGACCATGGCTGAGCTGCCCAAACCATTCTTAAGATTATTTTCTTGGATTCTCGGGTTGCATAGTCTGGTGAGCTCTGATTTGTTCAGTTGTCGGTTCTTTTCATGTCCCCCAAAAAAAAACGAAATGCGCGCTCTGGTGCTGATGGAAGACCCAAATCCATTTTGCGACCACCTTCCAATGAGACTCACTGCACCCGGAGCAAACTACGCCTCCCATGCCTAAAATCGAGGGGTTTCTCCAAATCGTGGGCCTCAAAATATGGACTTGAGAATCGGTCTTGCCAAGGAAACTGCAACCCAAAGAGGCTTCGATGTTTGTCTTACACCCTCTTTAGAGGGTGCTCCCCGTGTTAGCCTGGACAATTTCTTTTGGACCCCTTCTTGCAGCGTTTGACCGACAAAAGCGGGTCAACAAGAGGGTTCCTTCCACAACCAAGGTTTCCTCATTTGAATCTTGTGTATTCGCAGCTGTTGAACAAACTCTTTGGCTCACTTCCCAAGATCCTTGAGTCACCTTTCAAAAAGGAAAGTGGTAAACCCAGAAAACCACTGGCCAATCTGCGTAGAGAGGCGGAAGAACCTTCAAAAACCAGAGTTTTTGACAGATTTTTGCTGCTTCCCTTCTTAACCTTCCCAGCCGCAGGCGCCAAAGCCCGCATTCATGGAGGAGTGTCTCGACAGGTGTGGATTCGATCGATGCTATCGCGATCGACGCCTATCGCTTGGTTTGTCTTTGTTCAGGGTCCTACGAAGCTACGAATTCCACTCAGACCCTTCCATTGGCATGCCAGCTGCATCCCTTTTTTTCTTGTAGGGTTGATGCCGGATCTAAGTGGCTACCATGTCTTTTGCGGCTTTGCAAGGATAGGAAAGCCACCATTTTAGGGGGTAAAAACTGAGACACCCAAGTAGAACCCCTATACAGAGGGGGGACACTTTGAACTTTGGTGGTATTCGGATTCAACCACTAAAACGGATTCGGATTCGGCACCTCCGATCAAAATCAACCAGAGGGTCTGCTTAGATCCGGGATTAACATGATTTCCCCGTTCGGTGGCTTCTTGGCTGACCCCGTTTTGGCGCTGGTTTGGACCTTTTGGAAGCAAATGGAACTTGCCCATGTTCCCCAAAAGGTGATCGACCTTTACCTCGATAGGCAAATGAGAACGCTAAGTTTGCTTTGGTGATTTTGGGAACAATTCAAGAGCCCTTGGAAGATGCTCTGCGGCCATGTGCGGCCTGCTTCGAAATTATGTTGTCTTTGTTAGGTGGTGCCTGGAATTGTTGTCTTTGTTTAGTAGTGAGTACACAAACCAAAGTGCAAGCCTTTGAAACAGCGAGTTTCCTCTGGCAGTGATTCTTTCCAGAGTCCAAGTTTGTGTAAGGATGTACTAATACTCCCCTTTTGACGGAATAGTTCTCCTCAGGACGAACAAAGGGACCCTCCGGGCTTGCATCAAACAAATGCCTTAGCCAGCAGCCGCATTTCTATGGCTTTTTCTCGGTTGGGGGTATCAGGCTCTGCCATCGGGGGGCGAAGCAAGGTCTAAATGGCTGGACCAAGGCTTTCTTGGGGCAAGTGTCGTATTATATATAGGTGACGTGCTTTCGATACCTCTATGTAACCAAGGGAACCAGGTTTGAAGAGCCAAAAATAATACGGCCGGCAGATCTACAGGGATACAAGTCTATACATGTATATATACATATAAATATATACACGTGTTGATATGTATGGCCATACATGGCCATACATGGCCAAACAGGGACAAGCGGGGCCATGATGTTTGGAGTGTTGGGCTCACTGAATTTAGTCTGCTTGTGGGAAGACCCTCATAGGGAGGGTTGTTCAAAGAGCTATCTCACACATATCTTTTTTTTTGTTTATCTCAGTGTTGGAATTGAAGTTCCTGGAGTTGGTCGTGCCTTTTTTGTGCACCCCCCCCCCCCAACAATGGCGCAACAGTTAATGCTTTTGGTTCTCCTTTAAACCCACGAGGGTGCCAACTCCAAAGAAGGGACCACTCTCTTTTTTTGGGATTTTCTTTTTAGGGGACCCATTTGAGACTCAAATGGGTCCCCTAAAAAGAAAATCCCTAAAAAAGAGAGTCACCTGAAACAAAATAGCAGGCTTATGTTGATGGTTTGATTGACAAAACCAAAACAGAGGGTCCTTTTAACGCAAGGCCCCAACTCGTTGGTATTCTTTTGGTTCTCCAAACCCACACAAAGGAACAGGGTCCTTTTAAAGCAAGGCCCCAACTAAAAAAGAGAAGAATACCAACGGCCCCCGAAAACAACGACGACCCGTCCATCCACTCGTGGGTTCCAGTGGGTTTTCTCTCGTAGGTTCCTCTCGGGCGCCGAAGCCCATAGCCGAGAAGAGCTCCTGCTGGCGCCTACGGCGCCTTGGGGCAATTTTTGGAATGCCAAAGGGGCGTCGTTTTTTGTTTTTGTTTTTTCGTTTTTTTGTTCAACTTTCTTGAGTTGATCCCCCTAGTTGTTGGATGTTTTTTTTTTGGGAGAACGCGCAATTTGTGGGGGTCCGTTTGTGTGCTTTTTGAGTTGATACCCAGCGGGGAAAAGAAGTGGGTCTGTCTGTTTTGAAGTTGGTACCCCTTTCTTTGAGGGGGGCACTGGGAAACCAGTGGAAAACCGAAGCCATGCTTGGTGGTCCCGTAAAACATTGACAGACCCAAGTTCGGATCCTGGTTTCGGATCCAGACGTACAGGGTCAAAAGGGGTCGTTCAGTACACCTATATTATGTGCTTGGACCGTTCGGGTGTCTGTTTTTTGGAGGTCTGATCGGTGTGACCAAATCAGGCCCCGTGAAAAAGGACCTCTTGGAAACAAATAGCAGCTTTTCTATTGCTACACAAGGTCTAAGGACCTTTTGCTCAGCCTGGAGCAACCCAGGGAAAAAGATAGATTTGGGATTGGAACGCAGGGCACCCTCAGGATTCATGCACCCTCCATGCTGGTTAGATAAGCCACTGTCTCAAACCTGGGTAGAAGGTAAGGGAGCGTGGTCCTTTACACGGTTTTCATTTTGGGTGATGCGGGAAGGGGGGAGCACTCGTGGGGCCGCTGGAACAAGCCTTCAACCAAGAGCGCTCGCATTCCTCTGGCCACCATGTGAGCCGTCAAAGCTGGCAAGGCTTTGTTTGGCACCTGGGCAAGGGCGATGTGGGAAACGGCCAGAAAGTGAGCTCCCTGAATGGAAGTGTGGCAATTGCCCTGGCCCCTCCAGCGCTCCTTGCAAGAAGTTCCATCTCGTGGAAGGAAGCGTTGTCGAAAACAAGGGCCCGGACGCTGCTTGTGCGGCTCAAAACATCTGCCAGGATGTGGATCAGTTCCCACGCCAGAATCTGGCATGAAGGCTTTGTTTGGCACCGACTGGACGAAGCAGATGCCACATGAAGGCTCCACAAATTTTGTGAAATTGTGCCAAGCGAAACCCCGGCCAACATGCCTTGCGAATTGATAGGTGGGCGTTTCCCCCTTGTGCCACGAAGGTTAGCCTTTCACACTCCCCGATCATCAGCCAGTCAACCTGTCAGACTAATCAACCAAGAGACCAAACCAAACAAAAGGAATCAAGCATGCCAGAAAGCGACCAACCGACCAACCGCGAGGGCTGATTTTGTGGCTGTTCAATGCCAAACTGCTGAGGCTTAGGCCTTGTGAAGCTTCCTTCTCACTTGCCCAACGCCAACCTTTTGACCTTTTGGTGTTCCCATTGTTGGTCCACTTTTAGTCAGTCGTGGCCTCAAAAGTGAGCCTTTCAGTTGTTGGTCTTTCGGGCAAGTGAGTCTAAGTGAAAACCGTGCTTCTCTCGAGGACTGGGAGAACCTCCTGCTGGAGCAAGCCGAGTCCGGGATCTCGAGATAGTCGGAAGCAATCTTTCGTGTTCGAGAGTTGATCTTTGGTGCATTTTGCTTGGCTGTTAGGACTTTAACTTTTTGCCAACTAATGGGTTTTCCACTAAACCACCAAAAGTTAAACTTTTAGCAGGGGAGCAGAAAGCAACCGAGTGATGGTTGAGTTATCCTCCCACTAATTACCATTGTGAAGTTTGAAGGTTACCGGGGGCCATCAAGGAGACTCCTCTCAAACACACATTTTTGGTTGAGTTCCACGTGGCTTTGAATGTCAATAGGGAAGCAACAAGTCGTTGGACATAAATTCCCACCGAAATGATGTCCACCTAGGGTTGCACTAAATGTCACGCCCATGTGATACATGTTCCAGTGAACCCTTCGCCATGTTCCTGTTGGTTTTAAAGGGTGGTTCCATTCGCTACCCACTATACACGTGACCAGCGGCCTTAGTACAAGTATACAACATATAGTATAAACATTATATAGACATATATTGTCGTGTATATATATATATATATCTATACAATTGTATCAAGGCTACACTCTGGCCAAAACGATCAATGCTTAGGAGACAGTTCAGTTGGAGCTGGAGTTTTCGGCCGCGCTTCGACCGAACGCGGCCGAGGGACAAGGGCCGCATCCAGCGGCTCACCTCAGTGGCTTTGGACTTCCCCACCTTGCGCACCGACACGGCGGGCTGGGAACGGCTCGCGAGACGCGCTCGACGCGCGCGAGTCGCGAGGTTCCGCGAATCGCTCGGGAGGAGTCGAAGACGGTTGCAGAGTTCGTTTTAAAGTTTGGGGGGAGAAACTGGTGTGAACTTTTTAGGGGGCCAACTCCTTTTCTTGGAGTTGGTGCCGTTCTTTTTTAGTGGGGTGGTTCCTTTTCGAGTTGGTACCTTTCGCCTTTTAGGTTTTTTCAGTTAACCAAAGGAACGCCACATTCTTCCTTGGGGGGTCCAGTCAAAAAAGACACACAAACAGACACACACACACACACCCTATGGTATTGCAAGGGCCAACAATGGGCATGGTATTAACCCAAAGCTAAGAGGACAGGGTTTTGGAGCCTCACTTAGTGAGGTAGGGGAATCTTGTCTACTTTCATCGGGGGAAGTGGATGCCGCAATAACCCATGTTGGTTTAGTCATTCCCTGAAGGGAATTGCGTTATCTACTTTTGTGGGTAGATGGTCCGTCAAGCCATGTTCGGTGTTTCAAGGAGATCCTTGCAGCTGGCACACAGATTCACAGGGTACAATGGCCACCAGCAGGTCAGGAACGAAGCTGAAGCAGGATTCGCGTTGGGACCCGATCGGTGCCAGGGCTATCGGCGAATCCCCATCTCGCCGGGATGCCAAGGGCGGGAACCGGGAACGGGGAAGCGCCAGTAGAGTTCCAGCATGGCCCAAAAGCACCTTTTGGACCCCCCCCCCCCCCGTGCAATGGTAGTTCCTTCATTGTGGCACACCAAGCTCCCCCATGAAGGTTCCTTTCATTTCCTTTCTCTTACCCATAAGTGTGTTCTTGGGAGTTGAGGCAATGCGCCGCATTGCAAGTCAACCAACCATACTCAACCACAAAACCTTGATACATCACCGTAACTTGCGGGGGTTTCCCTGCTCCCATACTTGCAGTATCTTGCAGGCGCCATATCAAAGGCTTGGCCCTGCGGTTCAAGCCACCATTCAAACAGAGGGGAGCAATATAACCACCATGATTTTCCGGAGTTTCATCCTCCCAATTGGGTCCCAAGGCTTGTTCTTTTTACATCTTTTTATGGGGGGCCAGGAACCCTACTTGGATGTTCGATTCGCCTGGTTAGTAAGTCAGCGAATTGGGGTACAACCCCCTTGTGGTCCCATTATTTTCATAAATAAACCCTGCAGCATCTTGCAGCCCTTGGAGTTCGAGGTACAATTCAACCACCACTAGTTGGGGGAGTTTCATCCTCCAAATTGGGTCCCAAGGCCATTCTTTCTATGGGGTGAACCCTAAAAGCAAAGCTTGGACGTTTCCTCACTTCCTGAGTTCATGATCTTTAAACTTTTTGGGAAGACCATTTTAGTGGTAAATATAAAGTTTGGACTTTTTTTGGGCCATCCACTCAGCCAGTGAGATGGGGTGAGCCCTAAAACCAAAGCTCGGGCCGTTTCCGAGGTATGGCGAGACCCGTGCCCTCCTCTGCAGCCTCCGTGGCCCCCGGCCGGCGAGGGCCTCGCGGTCCCGCGGCCGCGCCGGGAGCTGAGGCGTCCGCAACTCACGGAGTTCCTGGAGTCTTCCATTTGGTGGAGAATATGTTTATGATTTTCCCCTGTTGATTTTAAAGGGAATCTATCACTGGAAATATGTTCATGTCGAAAAAGCAAATGGAGGGACTTTGAAGTTGGGAGCACACGCCAAGTTTGGACTGGTTTTTTGTTTGGCGGGAAGTGGAGCAAGGAGAAGAACTAGGTCTCGAGTTCCAGGACCTCGAGCAAGAAGGGAAGACTCGTTCAGTGAGCAACAGGTCGGGGCTTTTTGTTGGCCACGAAAGTTAGGGCCCTCGGCACCCAGAAAGCATACGAACTCTTCTATAGAGCCATTTCGGGAGGAGCCCTTGGGTTTTGGTTTGGACTGGTGTTCCCTTCAATCAGCCAACCACAAGTGGGAGTCATGGTGAAGTCACAGATTGCAGGTTCCATGACCGTGCCTTCCATTTGTTTTGTTGGTTTTGCTTTTTGTTGAGCAGACCCTTTTTTGCATTGATGTTGTTTTTTGTTTGACCGCAACCACACGCCCCAGTCGAGCACTTTAGAGTCTACTCCAGTTTGGGTGGGTCGCTTTTCAGCGAAAAGGGGGAGCACAACCACCTCGGAGGCCCCTCTGTTGGCTTCTCCTGAGGTGCAGACGACGCAAGAGGAGGCGCCGCAAGCTCAGCGCGGAGCTTTTTTCTTCGAAAGTTGGCAGTGGCAGGGCACCTTGTTGTCCCAGATTGACATATGGCCATGGGTCAAAATCCAAATCGTACCCCCAGTGAACATCCCAATCCCCACCAAAATAGACAAAATTGGTGGTGCACCTACCCGAAAATAGTACCATTGCTTTTGACCCACAGCCATATTGAATAGGGGGTCAGACATAGGTACCCAATGGAACCCTTGAAAGTGGAAGCAAAGACTAAAACCCGCGGTCCCCTGCTGGTTTAAATTTGATCCATACCCATATATTGATAGGGGGTGTCCCTGGGTTTAGCGAGATTCATCAACCCCACGTGTAGTTTTGGAGGGAGTGTTTGCTCCCCGCTCGTAGCTCCCAGCCGCTGAAGAAAAGCAACATATGCCAGGTGTCCGACCCAATGTTGACCTCGGATAGATCCACCCCAGTTTGTCACCAGGGTGTAAATAGGGTGAAATGTGGGGAGTTTCACTACGTTTTGAGGGGAACCCCCACTAGTCTACATTGTAAAGCAGTGGGGTGGTCTATCCCAGTCTTGATAAGGCCGCAGCCATCCCAATTGGTTCCTTGCCAGGCTTGCCGTTGCGATTCAGGCCATCTTTCCCCCCGCTCTCCCGTAAATGTGGCGTGGGTGTCCTTCTTAGCTGGTACCACTTTTGGGTGGGTTCGTCCCGAAGCCAAAAGGAAAACCACATTTTGTTTGGGCCCCCTAAGAACAGGACACACCCATGAGACCCATGTGACAGGTACCTCGGTACCCGTTCACTGTTCTTGGCATGTTATTTGGTTTTTTAGTTTTTTGGTTCTGTTCATTTTTGCTGGGGTCTGCAAAAACAAAGTTTTTTGCTACCATACCAAGAGTAGAGATGTACCCATTCACCCTAGGTCCAGCAGCGAGTCAGAGGAAGAGCTTCCCGAGACCCGCGAGGCGGGGATCCGGAGTCGCGGATCTTGGAGGGGGGAAGGCGTTTGGGACGGACTGGGTGGATTTTTGTTGGGCCTTGTAGGGTGTTTAATTGTCCTTTTGGTAGGGAGGGTGGTAGGGTTTTTTAATGGAGGGGTATTTTTATTTTAGTTTTTTGTTTGGGGGGGGTTGCCGGATTCTTGTTTCCTTTTGCACCCGTGTTGAATTGTGCTTTTGGCAGGGAGGGTGGGTGCGGAGAAACAAGGTCAAAAAGGGCGCCCCACCATTGAAGAGGTGAGTTTAGCGCCCAAACAAGGTCCAAAAACACACTTTGTGGAGGAATGTCGTTGAATCCACAGAAACAGGAGAGGGCCATGTGGAGGAAGCTACTTGTTTCATGGAACCAGCGGGCGTCAGTCGCGCCGCAAAAGGTGGCTTGAGGTCTCATGGGCTCCCTGGCCGAGTTTTTTCAACGGACTTGGGGCTTTCCCACAACAAAAGTCATCCTCCAAAAGTCTCCTGACAGTTTCCATGAGTGGAGCAGGGGTAGTTGAAGTCCTTTTGGGGATGGCCGGACAGTGGAGCAAAGGGAAGCAGTCCATGATGTGTTAATTCCCCCATTCTCACCCATCCTTTTCTTCGACAACCTGAAGAGCATGACTGGTCTTCTCCAAACTCAGTAGGGTACGGTAATGATATGTGCTTTTCATTCTATATATATATATATATGAAACAAAAACATGACATAGGATGTGTAGAGTACCCCTTTCCGGTGGGCAAGATGAAGGTAGGCTTAGGCTCCCCGGCAAACGATGCCAGGTGGCACTGAGTCCAAGCCCGCCGGTTACGCCGGGGTGCTGAGGACGTGCATTGGACTCCAAACCTCAAACCAAGCCACAAGCCACCGGCAGGGTTTGGCTTTCAGCTCGGGGTAAGAGGGTAAGACATGCGTGCAGGTGCATTGCTGGGAGATCCAATTCTTACTTCAGGTCTTCTTTGCTTTGGTGCATTTTGCTTGGCTGTTAGGACTTTAACGTTTTCACTAAACCACTAAAAGTTATTTTTTTAGCACGGGAGCAGAAAGCAATCGAGTTTGTCAACTCACTTGCCCAAAGCCGACCTTTTCACCTTTTGCTTTGGCCCCAGAAAGCTTAGCTTTCAATGGGTCCTTTGGGCAACTGCGTTAAGTGTATCTAAATCTAAAATCTAAAACAACCCTCGGCCATTGTAGGCCATGTTTTTTCTTTGCAGACGGTTGTAAGGTTGTTAAAAAATACACGTTTTTTTTTTTTTGAGTAAGCAATCACATTCACTGAAATCCAATAGGTTCAATAGGTTGTTGAAGACGCTCGGGAAAAGCAAACATCATCATTCATCACCCAAGCAAGGGTTCCAATTTCATTCATGCCAGGGCCCGGTCACTGCATGCTTGTATCAAGTGGCTTCCGTTTTCGTGGCACCGAAAGCGCTATTCTTGGGAAATGACTTCATGCCTTGCCTGGGAGTGTGTATTGAGCTTTTTGGACGGTTTCCAGAATGGGGCACCCCTCAGAGTCAGGGGGGCCACTGAAATCATCGCTATTCACACCAATGAAAGGTGAGTTGCCTCTTGGCGTGATATGTTGAAGCAGGAAGTATTTTGAACACCGTGCCTTTACAAGGGTGTCCTTACCTCTTCGGAAACACCACATAGTTTGTAGTTTCGGAACTGAGTGGGCTTTGCCTTGGGGGGTCTTCAGGTAGTAACCCCATGACCACAAGACTTTGAAGTGTAGTCCCTCACCAGATCGGTGCGTCGAGAATCCGCTTCGCACCGCTTGAGATGGATGCAACCCAGCGGATGGACGAAATCCATGGCGCACCACCTAAGAAGCAACACAGTACCGTTCGTTGGTATTTACCGGGGAATCAACAGAAACTGTGGTTTCTTGGGTGGTGCGAACCGATTTCGTCCGCGGTATGAATGATGGTTTCCTTCTGGCCAACCAGGGTTCCCTAAAGGACACACACACACCCAGGGTGTCTCCACCCCCGAAGGGGCTAGCTGAGGTATACCTACAAGCAGGAGAGCGAAGAGGCTCCGCTTGGGCTGAAGAGAGTGGGAATGAATTCCCAGTGGCACAGGATTTGCCAGGTCCCCCGGCCAGGTGCCCTTGCTCACCCCTTTTTTGGTTGGGAGGTTTCACCATTTCTAAAACAGACCACAGAAAAAAGGAACGGTACCCTTATTCTAAGCTCTCAAATCTGGCGGAGGTATAATCTCGAGTTCATGGGGCTTTCAACTTGTCAGAATAACAGCCGCCACCCAATAAAACGAAAAGAAAAAGAGTGGTTCCCAGCTGTCCCTTGGGTTTTAGGTGTTTCGGGTTTCGCGGGGGGGTTTTGCTTTCAACACACTGAAAGTTGTTGATTTTTTTTTGCAGATCCGAGGACAGTCCAGAAAAGAAATGGCGGTGTTCTTTTGGTTTCCTTTTCTAACAAACCCCGAAAGGCTACCCGCAATCAACAAATATAGCGTGCGGGTGTGAGAAATTGGGCGACGACCCCCGCAAAAGAGTGTTTTTGTTTTATTGTCCTCGAAACCAACCTGAACAGGGTGAACTGCATGTCGCTGGGCACTTTCCTTCGAGTTACGCAGGAAACTACTAGGTTGCCACTGGAAAATCTGACGGGAGCCCAAGCGAAGGGATGCCATGGTTGTGAGTTGGCTTTTGGCCTTGTACGTGAATGGCTATGAATGTTAATAGGACACCCCCTCAATAGTGGACATGAACCCTCAATGTGGCTGCTGCTTTTTTGGGGGGGTACCGTTTTTGTTGTGGGTTTCAATTGGACACGACAAGGAAAACCACAGTTTTTGGCGGCCCCATGTTGTCCAGTTCGGGCCCATTAAAATTCATGGCGAAGCCCCCACCCTTTCCGCGACAGGACTCGATGCTGGAGCTGTGCTTCACCCGATCCAAGAAAGAGGAGGCAGGCAGCGCGTCACGGTACACGGCAAACAGGTACTGTAACCGTTACTAGCCCAGTTGGATTGTGCAGGGGGATGCAAAACCAATCATTTGAATGGCATGCGATGTTGTCATCATACGTTTGTGTCGGTGGTTTATGTGCGCGGTGTTGCTATATCTCATGGTGGAGGTTGGCTTGCCATAGGCAAAACAAAACCAGCCAATATGTCACCCTATTGAGGTCTGGTTCTGACTAAATGGGCACCTGCACCCTCAAACTTCCAACTTACTGTAAACCTGAGTTCTTGCTCCAGAATCAGGGGGTCAATTACCTTCTGTCTGGGTACACTCCCTCAGACTAACATGGAAGCTCCCAGAAGGCCGATCCTGTAACTAGAACCACGTCTTCCGCCCAGAATAATTCCGCCCCCTTTTTCTCCCCTCTTTTTTTGGTTTTTGGGGAACCCAAGTCCTTGAAGCTCCACCAACCAAAGAAGGATTCCGCCCCTTTTTCTCCTCTTTTTTTTGGGGGGGAAGGGTTCCGAGTCCTTAAAACTCCAACCAAAAAAAGAAGACGCCGATCCCGTTTCGGGGCTTCCATGGACTCGCCGGGAGCCGGGGCCGGATGTCCCGGATGGCGAAGGCGCAGGCGGAGAGCTTCGCCTTCAGCGCCAAGAGCAAGCGCGGTCCCCCAGGGACTCTGAGCCAAAAGGGGGCACATGAGGTACAGGGGTATGTTAATGCTAACCCCGGGTTAATACACCCCTGGTTGATTTTGTTCGGGGGGTGTCCCCTTTTAGTGGGGATTCATCACTTTTGGAGGGACCACCCCTTAGCTTCTTAGCTTTTTAGCGTTTTGTGTGGTTTTTGTTCCACTCAACCCACTAAAAGTTAAAAGCTTTTAGCAAGGGTTATGAGGACAGCCCAGCTATTTCCCCTGCAGGAAGCAATCTAATCAGCTCATAACATGTAAGCGGTTGCAAGCCGCTTGGCTCAAGCCAAGTCATCCCAAGTCAAGTGGGTTGTAAGGGTTCCTAAGCACTTGCTTGACGTCGCAACTCGCTTCCTGAGTTCATGAACTTTAGACTTTTTGGGATTAGACCATTTTACTGGTAAGTCTAAAGTTTGTTTTTTTTTTGGGCCATCCACTCAGCAAGTGAGGCAAAGAGGGGCCCAAGCGAGTTGCGTGGCATGGATAAGGTACCAACTTGGAGGGTTAGAGGACTTTCCCCGATCCGGTGTACCCGCAATCGACTCCCTGATTTTTTTCCGACCATCTAATTGACTCGGGTGGGCAGGGCGGAGTGGTCACAGTGTCTATGGTCGCTTTTCTGTGTTCGTTGAGTGGTTGGCTGAACATAGGACTATACGATGGGAAACTGGGCGTGTCATTTGTTTCCTTCCGCCCCGATTGGGATTTGTTCTGAGTTGTTCCTCCTTGTTCTCCAATAGTAGAAATATAACATGACAAAGGACCTGGACAATAAAAGGTCACAGACGCTCATCTTTCAGGACGACTCAGCATGTGATCAAGCATGTGCTGATTGGCCGAAGGTCATTTACTGATTCAGAGCCATAGCGAGGGGAACAATTGCAGCCTAGTAGTGACTAGGATCATGACCTTCCCATTGGAAGCTGGCGACCCTTTAGTATCAGTGCGTATTTTTTTCAATGTATAGATGTGTATTATGTTTGAAGGTACGGTACATATCCTTTTTGGTGATATTTCACCGGAAACTGACAAGACACCATCTTTTTGGTTGGGGGGAGGCCCGTGCCATGCGCCAAGAACCCGGGTATGGCGAGCAAAACCTCGCCGCGGGATGGGTTGCAGCTTCGAGTCGACTTTTCCATCCGAGTTGCAAGCGTTTCTTTGGCGGTCAGTTCCTATTTTTTGTTACCAGACCACGTTGTTTGGCCCAACACACACGAGCCCTTCAGTGTCCGGCTTCGGCTTCCGCTGCAGCCCCAGGAAGCCAACGGTGGGAGGCGCATGGGGCGTTGCTCGGAAGCCTTGGGCCGATGTTTCTGGCCACGGCATAGGCTGTGGGGATCGCCACTTGGGGGTTTTGCACCCAAAACAAGGTGAATTCGGCGATCCACTCAGGAAGTGACATGTGAGCAAACAAATGTGTTCTCTGCAGCCACACACCAAAAATGAACAGGTCCGTGTATGAAGACCTGTTCAACCAGTTCGTATTTGTGCCATGTACTTGTGTCATACCACTGGCTACAATAGGCTTCCCCTGGACTAAATACTTACTATGAGAGCAACAATCACGACAGTCCGGTGTTGAGCGCAAACAGAGTAAGGTTTCCTCCAAACATAAGTCAGGCTACTTCCAATGGGTGTTTTTCAACATTGGGGATCCTTTTGATGGCTTGTTTTTTGGGCATCCCTTTAAAACCTTCCAAAAAGGGGTTTGCCATTTTGAGACATCCCCAAAGAAATTATTCGCATGGATTTGGACACGTGCAGCTATTCATTGCTTTGTTTTTCTTGGCAGATGCTCGGAGCCTTGATCCCAGCGACTTGATGTGGGGTTCTGTTGGGTCCACATCCATCGGGGGTCCCGAGTCATGTCCCTTTTTGGCAGTTTTACACATCGCCTTTTTGGCCCATGAAAGGTGAGTGCCCCTTGGTGGGGGTGATGTTTTAAGGGCAAGCCCTGTCCAGTTCTCGGGAGCCCTTTGTGTGAAAACACTTCCCATGTTTGCCCGTGGGTACGGGGGACAGAAGTCATCCACGGCCAGAGGGTCCTCGCGAGTTTCACCTCGGAAAAAAAGGGGGAAACGGCTTGCTTGTGTTCCGTGGACGCAAACAGAACCATTTCAAACGAGCACTTTTTCAAATTTGCGCTCGTTTGCGGGTTTTTGC